GCAGCAGCAGCATGAGGGGCACAGAACATGACCCAGGAACTTGTCCCAGCTGGGAGATGGTCTGGTGAGAGTCCAGCTCCATGTCCTCGCCTCTTGCTACTCAAAGCGTGCTCAGAGCCTCCTGACAATCAGGCAGTGCTACTTCCAACCGTGCGAGACACTCTCCCTTTAGCAACAGCTTCCCACGCTATCTCCTTCCTCCTTCCCATAAGGCATCTATGGTTTTTACAAAGACCTTTTCTTTCTCTTTTTTCCCTTCTTTTTTTTTTAAAATAAAATAGCAAAATTAGCAACTGTGGGATGGCTGGAACCACCAGTGCTGACTGCAGCACATACAGCAGCAAGGACAAAATCTGCTACAAACACACATTTCTTCAGCCAGCAGCTCAGACTTGGAAGGAGCCTGACTTGAGGCCACAAACACCCCTGAGATGCTGAGCAGGCAGTAAGAGCGTGGGAGGTGCGTGACAGCCCACGCCATCCAGAGCTGTGCTGCAGAACAGTCCTTGGTTGAACATCAGGGTCTTCGAGGCTCTGAAATGCACAGCCCCATCGACCCCTACCTCAAAGGGAAGGAGAAGTACTTGTTCCCTGACTTGCAGCGGATTTGCTCCCATTGGAGGCGCAGCAGAAGTGCCGAGTCCTCAAACCTGTCCACGATGTCCTGGAAAACAGATGCAGGGGTCAGCAGCAGGAGGGTGGATCTGCCAGAGGACAGAGTCAGCAGCTCCCTCTCTGAACCAGGTCAGAGATGAGGCCACCTGAGGCTGGAAGCCTCTGACTTCCCTCTGGAGGGTTAAATCACATTAAAGTGATTAACTTTCTGAGGAGCCCCCAAAAGCTTCTCTTCTTCCAGCCCAGTGAAGTCTGACTTGCTCAGTGAATTTCCCACTCCCCACCCTCTGCAGGGAGACGTGGCTGGACACCAGCTCTGCCCTTCCCCTGCTCTCCGTCCTGCGTGGAGCCGTACCTGGAGCTCCCGCAGACACTGCCCTTCCAGCCTGCCAGACAGGTCCCCCACGCACCAGGCCAAGCTGATATGGAACGACGGGTCCTGAAGACAAAACAGGGATCTGACCATGAGGGCTAAAGGAATCCTGGCTCAACATGCAGAGCCGCAGCAGGAGATCTGGTGTGATGCTGCCCTGCCTGGCACCACCATGACGTACACTCTGGCCCGTCGCCCCGAAAATCTGATTCTCAAGAGGCCACCAGATAGCTGAGATCCCTACTCTCCTGCACAGGACACGATACAGAAGTCACAGACTTGCACTAGTCCCATTCTTAGCAAGGTCGTGTTCAGGGTGTATGAGCATCACCGACCAGCCCAGAGGAGGACATTTCAGAGTCTAACCTCCTGGCTCCTGTTTATCTGAGAAAACACTTCATGGATCTCTCACAAGAAAACAGCTGGCATGCCCAAACTGGCAGGGAAGTAAGTGGGAGCGCCCTCACCTTGTAGAACGTGGGAAGGTCAAATTCCTCCAGGACTCTGTCCACCTCGGAGACCAGTTCCAGCAGCTGGAAATGCCCAGCAGAGACTTCCAAGCCAATAAAGGTCCTAAAAAAAGACAAGAGACAGTAAGCACTCTTTCACACTGCAGAATGCACTGCCATATGCATACCTAGCCCTGCATGCCTAGTGGGCAAATTCCCTTCCCCCTAACAAAAGATAATTTGAGGAATGCCAGGTTTAACTGTTCAAGGACGCTGACGAATTCTGAAGACAGACAGAAATAAAGACATGGTATCAGGGAGAAGCAGGACTGGATGATACACCACGTAGATTTACTAGATTAACTTAGCAACTTTTGGGGCATGAAAACTCATTTTCCAGGCAGAGGCTGCACTCAATGAGTATTTCAGCAGAGCACGGTGGCGTGCAGGAGCCGCATTCAAACAGTGGAAGTTGCTGGAGGGGTTTTATGGCAAGGGAGGAAGCGGGGAATGGGAAGTACCAAGCTGGAGAGCCGTGACAGAGGGACCTCCTCAAGGACTGTCTGGATGATGCTTTCTAGACTCCAGGAGGGGAGGGGAAGACCAAGTCTCACCCAGGACCTGCTTCATTCCGCTTATGACTATCGTGGGCTGCTGTTCGCACTAGATTCAGCAACTTCTCACAATTTTAATCACCTTTGCTGTGACATTTAAACTACTTAACTGCGTTCAATTGGAATCAGGCTTCTGAGCTGACACTCGGAAGAATTAGCACCTTCGAGCTATTTCTCTGCAGCTCTTGGAAGCCCTGCACTGCAATTTCATGATGGGCGTTGCTGCCAGAAGAGGTGGCCCTGGCTCTGCTCGCCCCAGGCTGCTCACGCTGGCATGAGGGTTTGTAAAACCGCTGAACAAACCAGATGGGAGATGGCAGCGAATGCAGCTGCCTCCTTTCGTTGCTGTGAAACCATAGCACGAATCAAACCCCAGCGGAAGACCTGCCTTGGGTCATGTTGTGAACAGATCTCCTCTCTTCAGGAGACCAAAATCTTGCAGCCTCAGGTTTGGCCACCACTAACGAGACCAACGGCTTGCACAGAATCCACACTGAAGCTAAAATTTTGTGCAAGTGGCTGGGGAAAGGTGTGAAACCTCTGGAGACAAGGTGATCGCATACCACCCTGTCATACGGCTCAGCCCAGTCACTGTGGGACAGGCAGGGTGATGCTCCCCATCCACCCTTCTCCTCACTCACCTGGTTTTGTTCTCGTTGGTGTAAACCTTCACTTGGTCAGCCACGCAGAAGAACCTGAAATAAGAAAGGTCTTGTTTTCAGCTAGAAAAATTTAAAAGAGGAAAAAAAGGGGAAAAAACCCCCACAAGATAAGGAGGGGACAGGATTTCTTCTGAGCTGTGTAAATATAAAGGCAAATGCGTGCCGCAATCAGACAGAATTGGTGCAACCAGAACCTTTCCAGGCTCAAATTAATCCATTTCCTCCTGGTTTCCAGCCTGCTGAGGCCTGGACAGCAACAGAAGCCCTGCAGTAGCTGATGCTCAGCAGGCACCTGAGCCAAATGTAAGCAACAAAACCATCAGTGGTTTACAGGATGGCACAGCTCCGGCCTTGTCTGTGGAAGCCAAGACCTGACTTGTGTGGATCTGTCCTGGATCCTGAGGCAGAGAGGAAAACTCCCCAGGGCTTTACTGGTGCAGTACCAGCTCCCAGACACAACTTAGGGTGCTGTCATGGTTTAGCCCAGCAAACAGCTAAACAATGCACAGCTGCTTGCTTACTCTTCTCCTCCACAGTGGGGTGGGAACGAGAATTGGCAAAGTACAAGTGAAAGAACTCTGTGTCATCTGTCCCAGAAAATCCTGGGCTTTCACTTTCCCCATATCCTTTTGTGCAGAGACAAGGAGAAAAAAACAAAACTATGAAAACCATGACCACAAGTGCATGCAAAAGACTGAAAACTAGACCTTGAGTTAGCGTAAACACTGCTGGTGAGAACCAAACCAAAATCTCACCAGCTACTATGAGGAAAAGAACTCTATCCCAGCTAAAGCTGTAACACCAACTTGTGTTCACCAAATCGCACACTGCCATTCTCTCAGAAATGCAGCTCTGCTGAAGAGAAAATGGAATTCTACAACTCAATCTCAGCAAAACCACGGCAGGAGCAGGTGCTGGTGACACAAAGACCCCTCTTTGGGGCTGCACATCCCTACCTGTGGAAGGAAGCCAGGCGCTCCCGGAGGCAGCGGACAAAGGGCTCGATCCAGTGGTAGCGCAGCACCACGCACTGCGAGAGGCTGAGGTGGAACTCGTCCATGGCGGACAGCGAGGGGACGTGGGTGCGAGCATGGGACACCAGGAGCTCCAGCAGCTCCAGGAATTCCTCCTGGGCCTGGTCTGCAGGGCAGTGTGGTCAGCACCAGGGCCCTCCCCGCGGCTCCCCCCCCGGGGGCTCGTCGGGGCTTACCCGCCTTGGCCCTGTCCCGTTACCTACAGGGCAGGTAGACGTGGGTGGCCCAGTTGCCCCGTTCGTGGGGGAAGCCACGGATGCGGCC